GGATAGATGTATCAGAAACAGATGATGAAGTCTCATGACAAGAAAGTACATCCAAGAAAATTTCAAGAGGGTGATGTAGTGCTGAAAAAGATCTTGCCTATACATAAAGATTTCCGTGGGAAATGGATGCCTAATTGGGAATGATCATATGTTGTAAAAAAGGCCTTTTCCGAAGGAGCGTTGATCTTAACAGAAATGGATGGAAAAATTCTGAGAAACCCAATAAACTCATATTCTGTCAAGAAATATTATGCTTGAAGAAAAAAGAAAATAAAATGAAAAATAAAATGAAAAAATAAAAAAAAAATAGAAAATGAGGGTCAAGATGAAAACCCACAAAGGGCATCTAGCAACCAAATGAAGGATTTGAGTTGAAAACATGAAAGGGCTGCTCAAATACATGTTGATATTAGGCATCTTGCAATTAAACCTTCTTAAGAGCTTGATATTTTGGGAGAAACTTTACATCTACAAGCATTCTGGCAACGTTTGAGATCTTCCAGACATAAGCTTACCTCAGTGCTCTAAATTATATCAAGTTGATTAGTTTAGAAATACTTATGCTAATAATTTGTTGAGTCATTTGAATTTTATCATTCCTATGTTTGCCATGACTTTGAATAAATTTTTATATATTATTTATTCCAAGATTATCTTTCTAAAATTCAATTTCTTTTGTTCGAAATTCAATTTATTTTTCACATAAACATCCTGTAAATGGATTACCATAATCTTAAAACAAACAAAATATTTCTGGCTATTACTTTATGTTAATACTTTTTAGTGCATGGAATCTAAAGTAAGTCTTATCGACATTTGCAATCACTGTTGAAAAGCAAACAAGTTATTTCCATCATAGATTCATTTAGAAGCAGAATAAGAGGAAATTTGTTCTCAATTGGCAGATTATGATTATAGCCCTTTTCCTTGCAACAACATAAAAATACTTCAAATCTACAAATTCTGGCTCTACATCGTATAAGTACCGTGACATTTCAGTCTAAACACCAACTGGAGCAAATGCCACGTTCTCGGAGTAGAAATAAGGAGACCCAATAGCATCTTCTGGAAGTGTTCTTTGAGTTATCTTATCTGGTACGGTAGGAACCTCAAAACCAATCATTGGATTTGGAAGATGAACTGCATGATTGTCTTCATTAAGAAGCTTCTTTTCAAGCTTCCTCTGCTTCTTCCTTTACAACAAATCATAGCCCGAGTTTCGCCTTTTCTTGTAATTTGGGTCATTGCATAATGACTTCATATCTTCCATCGAAAGAAGTGTGCCAGCAGCCTTAGCCATTTGAGCAGCACATATAAAATCTCTCAACTCTGTAATTGATGAATCCGGACCACATCTCTTTATGGCTATTGAAGCCTCAGCCTCTGAGTACCCCATTTTCGTCAAGTATAATAGTTTATTCTCCTCATCAGAATCAGAATTCAGGATTTCTTCGGTATCAGAAGAACTATCAATATCTGTGAAATCATCCTGGAAGATCGCTTCATAATCAGATGAGTAGTTATCAGAATCAACATGTTGCATGAGTGCGGACTTTTCAAGAGCCTATACCATTGAGTTTTGTTTTCAAGTGCTTTTGTGACATCATATAAAAATTCAGGCATATCTACATCTACACTCTCCAAAGATGATAGATTCTCTTTTTAAAGAATAAAGATTTATTGGATTTCTATACAATTGAAGAAAGACCGAGTTCACCACCTTGAAATCAAATAAAGATGAACTTAACGTTCATGCATCATATTTAGACATTTGCAAAATAGGGGTATTTTCATTCATTTTATCCATGTTAAATATTTGACAGGAATTTCAAAGATTTTAGCAAAGATTCATACCCATCACTCAATGGATCAACTTTTTTAGAGAATGTTCATAATGAGAAGAACTTATCTGAAGAAGTTCATAATGAGAAGAACTTGTTTAACCTTTTGCTCGAATTCATCACTTGATGGATCAGCATTGCCAGGTAGAGTTCATAATGAGAAGAACTCATCTGAAGAGGAAGAAGAAATTCATAATGAGAAGAATTTGTTCAAACCTTTTGTTTGAATTCATCACTCGATAGATCAACTTTTCCAGAGAAAGTTCATAATGAGAAGAACTTATCTGAAGAGGAAGAAGAAATTCATAATGAGAAGAACTTGTTCAATCGTTGTTTGATTCTATCACTGAAGGAGATATATCAGCATCAACATTTCCAGAAGTGTTTAGAATAAGAAGAACTCATCTGAAGAAGGAGAAAGAGTTCATAATGAGAAGAACTTGTTCAAACTTGCCTTAATTCATCACATATTGAAGCCAAATTAACAACCCCTCTTTTGAAGATCAGCATTTGTAAAAGGAGTTCATAATGAGAAGAACTCATCTGAAGAGGAAAAAGAAGTTCATAATGAGAAGAACTTGTTCAACCTTTTGTTAAATTACATCACAGATTATCATCCCCAGCGGAAAAATGGAAGAGTTCATAATAATAAAAACTTGTTCAACATTGCCATCATAATCAAGTGAAGTTAAATGGATAAAAAATTTATTATCTTTTCATCTTTTCCCTATTCTTGTTAACACAAGAATGAGCAAAGAGGGGCAGCTGAAGATACTAATTTTTTATTATCCATTTGATTTATTATTATAATTATTTTATTATTATTATTATTATTATTATTATTAAATAATAAATAATTATAAATATTATTACAGGCCCAAAAACGAAACCCAATACCCGAGGCCCACTACAACCAAATAACCCGGAGGCCCATTTACACCCAGATCAGCCTAAATGACAACCTTAAACCCATTTAGGGTTTATATCTCAACCCTAAACCTATTTAGGGTTTATATCTCAACCCTAGCCACCAACAATCATCAACCGTTGGATTTGGCAAGATCCAACGGTCCAGAGATATCTAGCAAGAAGCCCTAGGGTTATGATACCCTAGGGACTACAGCCGCCGCCTCTGATGCACCACGCGGCCGCCAACGCCTCTGCTAGGTGGTCCAACGCCTACTGCCGACACGCCGCCTCACTGTTGAAGCCTCCAGAAGAGCCATTTGCCCCCCACGTCACAGCTACAAGGTGAGTCACCACATAGTTTGGTGACTCATCGAAAAACCCTCCTAGGACCGGTCCAACGAGAGCCTCATCGAGGCTATATGACCACACCTGCACAGAGAAGAAAAAAAAGGAGGACAGAGAGCAACCATATCACAGAAAGAAAAAAAACAACCAATAAATATAACCAGCAGTAACCATTCGAAAAAAAGAAAAGAAAAAGGAGAGAATACTTACAGCGTTCATCGGAGTCTTCACGTGAAACCAGAAAACCAAAAACATCGAATGTAAAAACCTTCGGTTTTTTTCTAGATCTAGGGTGATCTAGGATTTTTAGGTAAAAAGGAGGTCATATTCGAGATAAGGGAAAAATCGGGCTTCGATTTAGAAAACAAAATTAGTTCCGGCCACCGTATATGGTAGTCGGCGGCGGAGGTTGGCGGCGGCGTAAGGCTGCCGGCCGATGATCGGATTCCCTCCGGTGAGGGAATCCTAGAGAGAGGCAAGAGAGTTTTAATCTCTCTCAGCTAGAGAGAGAATGATAAATGAGAAAATGAAGAAGATGGCCGGAAGGGCCGGCTCTAAGGGATTTAACTACCCCTTCCCAAACGGCGTCGTTTTGGGGAGGGGTATGTGTGTAATTTTTAAACGTTAAACCCCGTCCGCAGTCCCTCTGTTTTATATGTTTTGCATTTTAGTCACTGAATCAAATTTATGATCCTTTTAATTTGGTATCTAAATTTTATTTATTTACATTTTAGCCATTAACCGTAATTATATATATTTAAGATAAAATATCAGATTTAGTCCTCTAATTTTAATAATTAATATTTTAATCATGAACAACATGTTTTAATTTGTTTTAATTTGATGTTCAAATTTTATATATATTTAATTTAGTCCCTAAATTAAAAATAGGAAAAATTGCATGTTTAGCCACTACAATTTTAAATAATTAATTACTAATTAGATATTTAATTTTAATATATTCTAATTTAGTCATTAATTTTAATATCTTCATTTTTTTTAATTATAAACTTTATTTTTTTTATATTTTAAATATATAGTTTTAGTTTTATTTATTTTAATCACCGTTTAGTTATATTTTAAATTTTATATGTTCATATATTTAATTACTATTATTATTATTTAGTCATGTAAATATATTTATAATAAATAATATTTATCTATTTATTTTATTAAAATCCTATTTATAAATTTAATAAATTACTTTTAAATCATTTTGATCATATTTTAATATTTATTTTTCAATATTAAGAAAGAACAGTCTTAAAGTAACTGGATGTCCATTTTCTGATATTTTAAATAATTAAATAGATTACTTTTATAAATTATATTTATTTTAGATAAATGTTTTAATATTTATTTTTTAATATTAAGAAAAGAGTTGTCTTAAAACATCTAGAAGTCATTTTCTGATATTTCTAAATAAAAAAATATCTTATTTATATATATAAATTAATAGATTTTTTTAAAAATTATAAATTTGAAATAACAAGATTATAAATTAAATATATCTTTGAATTTTTAAATTTCTAATAATAGAGACAATTTATAATTAATTAGTACTAATTTTGGGCGTTGTGAGTGCTAATATTTCCCCAAACGTAACTGACCACGAATCTCTTTTTATTTTTAAAAATAATGAATTTTTAGTTAAACGCATACCAATTTATCTTTTAACTGATGTTTTTTTAAAAACTCTTTTAAAATATAATTTTTAGGTATTTATCTTTTAACTGATGTTTTTTAAAGACTCTTTTAAAATATAATTTTTAGGTATTCGACCTACCTAACCCAAAAAGATCGATAGCGACTTCTAAAATATTTTAAAAAAAATAAAAATTATTTTTTTATTCACATTATATTTCTTGTTTATAAAAAATTTGTGTCCGGACGAAAATCGATTACGACAACCCTAACTAGAAAAACCATAACCCTAGAGGTTGAATTCAGTGACACCATCGATAATGTGAAGGCTAAGATTCAGGATAAAGAAGGTATTACTCGTCTCTTTTCCTTCTTAAGTTTTTCTCCCTTCCCGCTTTTGTAGTGCAATTTGTTTGTGATTTTTTTGTGTGTGGTTTTGACGGCTTATATTTTCCTGTTAAAATTTTATCAGGTATCCCTCCGGACCAGCAGAGGTTGATTTTCGCCGGAAAGCAGCTCGAGGATGGCCGTACTCTTGCTGACTACAATATTTAGAAAGGTAAATGTTGGTCCTTATGGACCCTAATACGATTCTCCCAAAAAATTGACACAGGCAAAAGATGTTTAAAGTATTTTGATTTATCATGATCCGTATTGAACTGTGAATTGAAAGCGAGGATATGTTTAGGTAATGTTTACCTGTTGAGAAAGTGAGAAGTATCCAAATAGGAATTTGTAGCAGTCATTAGAACTAAATATGCTAGCTTTTCTATAGCTTCAATTTTTTAACAATATTTAGATAATTTTGTAGGATCTCTGTGATGAGAAGAAAATGCTCTCGTGTTATCTCCAATTTTGTTGTTTAGAGTACTGAAATTACGATGGAAATTGGGATGTTGACTTGAAAGTTTGAACTGTGCTCCCCCCTCCCCCCCCAAAACACCACAAACACACACCAAGTTTCTCTCTAAGCGATATTTAAATGTTAATGTTTTAGTGGAATTAATTATCGAGCCTTCTTTGATGGCATTGGCTAGGAAATACAATCAGGACAAGATGATCTGCGACAAGTATGTCCACTCTATCTTCTTGCCCATAATTTTAATTGTTTAAATAATCTTAGTATACACAATTCATTTGAAATGAATTGTTCGTTTACTATCATATATCTTCTATGCATCTAGTTAGACTTTCCCCCTGCATCCTGCCTACCAGAGGTGCATTTTGATGTTTAGTTTTAGGGATAATAAGAAGGTCCAATTTTTAGGAAATGCTCTTTTTATTAAAATTTCTTGCAAACTGATCTGATTTGTTATTACTTCCATGCCTGCATAATGCTACATACTATTTTTGCTACCTTAATATCCTTTTATAACTTCATTAATTTCTTTTGAGTTTCCTTTCTTGGGGGTAGAATTAGATATTTTAAACTGGTACATATGTTTAAGCCATTTATATCAGAGAGATTCTTCATTCAATACCATATACAATAGAACATAGAATTGAAAAGCTTATATATATATATTCCAGTAAAAGTTGAGAAAATGTTAGTAGAAAATGAAAAGCTTAGTAACTTTACCAATTAATGGGGATATCTTTGCTGTAGGTGTTATGCTCGTCTGCACCCCCGTGCTGTGAACTGCAGGAAAAAGAAGTGTGGTCAAAGCAACCAGGTAAACCATCTATGCCCATCCCATTATTCCATTCGCACGAGCAGCTAATCTAAAGGACATTTTTGTAAACCACATTCGAGTTTGTGCTCTTGCCATGTAACTGTTTGACATTTTCTATTGCTTGGTAAACGACAGTTGAGGCCAAAGAAGAAGATCAAGTATATGTTTTCGTGAGGCTGGAAATTCTGATTCTACTATTATTAGATTTCTGGATGTTTTGTTACAACGGTATGGTTCTAAATACAGATCTTGACCATCTTAAAAACTTTGCAAGCAGCTTAAAACTCGAGTGGTATTTTTGTTTCTGTTTGACCTTGACAATAGTTGTTCATATTTAATAAGATGGTGTCTTTTTTCTTCTTCTTATGGTTCGATGCTTTTGCCTGTGATTATTATTATATCATTTTCTGGAGCCAGAAATGAAAGATGTTAGATTAGACTTGAAGATTGCCCTAAGTTGAGTTATTTGTAATAAAAAGGAACACATTATTAAAATCAGTAACATGGGTTTAAGCTTGAAGAAAACTGAGCGTGGATACTTTTATTCCATTTGATCAAGGGTTTTCATTTTATTTTTTTATTGATATAATGTTGAACAATACCTGTAATTTGCCATTTTCTTAACGTTTTAACTCTCAATATGTTGCTCATGTTTGGATGGAATTTGTTAATTGATTAAATGGCTTTTTGTTGATTAGATAGATATTGTTGGATAGTATTTGATTAGATATGTGTGCATATAAAATATGATTTGTATTACATTAGTAAGAAATCACAATTAATGATGAGTGTCACACCCCAAAACAGGGTCTAAAAATTCTTTTGAAATTTTTTGAGGATTGAATTGAATTTTAATTGAATTCGGGGATTGAAGTGAAATTTTGATTAAATTTAGATTCAAATTTAGAAAGCAACTAAAGATGGAGGACCTGTGATATGATTTTGCCATTTTCTTTTTTAAGGGTTTACATAATCCCAAATATGGGGAAAATGTTAATTTCTTTTTCTATCTCCAGAACATTTCCTCTTATAGATTGAAACATTTGATCGTTGATTCATCGTCGACCATTGTTCCGTTTTTGACACCTACTGCACCATCGTGTTCCTTGTGTTATCTCGAGTTCACCGGTGTCTATATTATCTTCGTTGTCGTCGGCGTGTGAAGGGGTGAGAAATATCAAGTTTTCGACATTTTAAAATCGAGCTCTCCGCCGTTCACTGTTATGAATCGAGCTTGGTAAGTGTTTCAAAACTTCTTAAAACACAAGTAGAAATTTTTACGGAATTTCTAGGATCGGCCCATTTCCAAACAGTCCACCAGGCGGTAGACTTTCCCCACTCTCAGAGGTGGTGCGTGGAGGCGCATGCAAGACCTTAGAGGGTAAAAGAAACGATTTTCATTTCAAATGATGTCTCTCAGTGACCAATACTCACACGACCCCAGTTCGAGAGATTATTCTTGAACAATCCCAATGGCTTCAATCCAGCATGCTGACGAAATCTCAATTACATGATCTGAAACAAACATTTCTAAATTTGTACAGGATTAACTAAATTCATGAACCTAATGAAAGGGATTTATTTTGTCACATGGCTTGTCTACTCCACAATTACAATAAAACATCCTGTAACTTGCCATGTCATAATTTGAATGATTTTTGTGAAGCTAAGACTTTTTAAACTTCATGATCTGATCCAAGAATAAATTGGGTCACAACTCTAACAACCGTAGTCATCTCTAAAATCGCTGCTGATCATTCATAGCTGTAGGGACTCCAGATAGAACATCCCAGTGGCATTTGTTCAGGTGGATGTCTCTCAAATTTGAACGTATTGAGCAAATCTGAAGATCCCAGTGAAGTTAATGGAGCAAATTTTGACAGATCAAATGTGACAAGTGCTGAAAGCTAAGTGCCCTGATCCTAGAAAGTCTAACTCAAGTTCTGTAGGGAAACAGCTGGTAGCTGAAGATAATCAATCTGTCAATGGTTGTTTTTCCCCCCTTTAAGCTTATCGAACAAAATTGTCTTGTACCATGGCAGCATTATCTTCTAGAAGATACCGAATGAGTTTACCTCAATTCTGAGTTATTATTTAATCATGCGAAGATTACTTCTGCCTTACATGTAAGATACCATGATTTGAATCACTAATAGAAAATATATTACCGTGAGATTCCAGGTGAAAAGCAACTAAACCAAAGAGATGACAAATGAACCAAGTTAGCCCTCCACATGTATGCACCTACCGTTATCTCCACATTTTTCATGGTACCGAAATGAAAATCAGCAAAATAAAAACAGATAAATAGAGGCAGAGAACTACCCGAAGAGCTCTACACAATATGAACACCGTGGTATCGGTGTTGGTCATGATTTCACTCTACCTAGCGTTGCCCATAGGCAAAGTTTCTAAAGCCTTCACCCGCTCCATCTTCCGAGCTTATCTTGTTCGTTTCCTCGAATTTCATGACATTGTTACCTATCCCAGCTTGACCCCCATGATAAGTGCCACCAGCGGCAGCAGATCTTCTCCCCACTTGTGGCTGGTTCAGTTGCTGCTGTTGGAGATATATTGATTGCTCTGATTACTGCTGCAGCTGCTGATCGTTCACATGGAAAAGCACTTTTGAAGCTAAGAAATCTGGATGCTGCTTATCTATTACAGCTTGTGAGGACTGCACATGTTGTTCTTGCTGCGTTGTGGATTGCGTAGGCATCGTCAATGTTTCACAAATGAGTTCAAATAAATGAAACGCAAGTTGCTTAATCGAAAGTTATTAAACCGAAGAAATCTCCAGGACAACCTGGGATGTTGATCCCTGTGCTTGTGCATCTGCGATTTTAGCTACATGCGTTAGGTTCTGCTGCAGCTGTGCCTTGATACCTGAATCATTTTCTTTATAAAATGAGAGCAGATATTCTAGTTTACAGTTCTGATTAACTGACTGTATTACTCAAAAAGACTTAAATATACAGATCTAACCCTAGTTCTTCCACCATGGTGGTCACCGTTCTTCAGTTCCTTAAATTATAGGCAAACCAATGGTAAACAGTCATTCGTCTCATCTTTAAAATATAGATGACCAAGTGTTAAATGGAATGTATATGTTGTTTTGCAAACATGATAAGGCCTAGAAGTTGAGTGCTAAACTAGCACTGAATTATTAGCTGAAACACTAGCACTGAATTGCACATATGATACAACTTAAAAAACTTAATTGCCAAAGAAAAATATTTATGGTAAAGAACTCACTCTCAAAGATTAGCGAACTGATGGAAGGCCAATTAAACACACAAACTTTATGTTGGAAATGAAACACTCATACAAACAATTTTTATTGAAACTCAAACAAATATTACAATAGCACTCTCACTCAAAAACAAGATACTACAACTCACTCTTATAAGACTTTGCTTCTTCACTCACTTAGAAGCTCTTAATTTTTCTTGATGCTTAAACTAAAATGGGGAGGGATATTTATACTACTCAAGAATAATCCTACACCACACAAATAAAATAACTTAAACCATTAAAATATACAAATACCTAACTCTCACTTAACTCTTCACCTAATTCTTCACCTAATTCTTCACCTAACTCTTCACCTAATTCTTCACCTAACTAAATTGATGTAAGCAATGACATCAATTTAGTTTGGGTTTAGGCACCTATAATGGATCAAGTTTATGATCCAACACCCCCCTTAAACTTGATCTTGTGACCCCTAGTAAGTTCCTTAATCTTATAAAGTCTTCGCTGGTCAGTGGGTTGGTAAAAATTTCGACAACTTGATCTTGTGACTTTACGTATTCAACTTCTACATCCTTTCTTGCAACACACTCCCATATATAGTGGTAGCGAATATCTATGTGCTTACTTTGATAATGGAATACTGGATTTTTTGATAAGGCAATGGTTGATTTGTTGTCAACACAAACCTTGGTAGGCTCTTCTTGTATCAAAGTTATATCCTTCAATAGATTTCTAAGCTAAATTGCATGACAAATGCATGAGATTTAGTTTGGGTTTGGGTTTAGGCACCTATAATGGATCAAGATTATGATCCAACACCCCCTTAAACTTGATCTTGTGACCCCTAGTAAGTTCCTTAATCTTATAAAGTCTTCGCTGGTCAGAGTTTGGTAAAAATATCGACAACTTGATCTTGTGACTTTACGTATTCAACTTCTACATCCTTTCTTGCAACACACTCCCATATATAGTGGTAGCGAATATCGATGTGCTTACTTCGATCATGGAATACTAGATTTTTTGATAAGGCAATGGCTGATTTGTTGTCAACACAAATCTTGGTAGGCTCTTCTTGTATTAAAGTTATATCCTTCAATAGATTTCTAAGCCAAATTGCATGACAAATGCATGAGGTAGCAGTAACATATTCCGCTTCACAAGTGGACAATGTGACAATCGATTGTTTCTTTGACATCCATGTGAAAGCAGTATCTCCCATGAAAAATACGAATCCAGTAGTGCTCCTTCGATTATCTATGTCTCCACCCCAATCACTGTCGCTATATCCAACAAGCTTGTAATCATTAGAAACTAAATAGAACAAGCCAAAGTCAATTGTACCTTTCAGATAGCGAAGAATTCTCTTTGCGGCTTTAAAATGGGTGGTTGTTGGAGATTCCATGTAGCGACTAACCAATCCAACTGCGTGAAGAATATTGGGTCTCGTGCAAGTTCGATAGGGTAGACTTCCCACCAAACTTTTGAAGAATGTTGGATCTATACTTTCGCCTTCTTCATGTTTGGACATCTTGATCCCGTATTCTGTCGGTGTACTTATTGGATTACAGTTCTCCATCTTGAACTTCTTCAGGATCTCCTTTGCATAACTTTCTTGTGAAATGAAAATTCCATCCTTTTTTTGCTTAACTTCAATGCCAAGGTAGTACGCCATGAGCCTCATGTCTGTCATCTCGAATTCTTTCATCATCACATCCTTGAATTCATTAAACATGTTTGGGTTGCTTTCGGTGAAGATCAAATCATCCACGTAGATGCATACGATAAAAAAAACCTACATCTTTGATCTTGATATATAGAGCATGCTCGTAGGGACATTTGTTGAAGTCATTCTCTTGGAAGTACTTGTCGATTCGGCTATTCCATGCCCTTGGTTCTTGTTTTAGCCCGTAAAGAACCTTCTTCAACTTCAACACCTTATCTTTGTGCCCTTTGAATTCATCGCCTGATAGTTTTTGAATGTAAACTTCTTCTTCAATAACTCCATTTAGGAAGGAAGACTTTACATCCATCTGTTGTATCTTCCACTTGTTTTGAGCTGCCAAAGAAATGATTAATCTGATAGTCTCCAATCGAGCAACAGTAGCAAATACCTCATCATAGTCAATTCCAGCCTTTTGACTATAGCCTTTAGTAACTAGTCTTGCCTTGTGCCTTTCAATCTCTCCTTTGGCGTTTTGCTTTGGTTTGTACACCCATTTGACACCTATCGCCTTATGTCCCTTGTGAAGTGAGGTAAGTTCCCATGTGTCATTCTTCTCGATGGCCTTGATTTCTTCGTCCATCGCATCTCTCCATTTATTTTCTTGTACTGCTTCTTGAAAGCTCACTGGTTCACAATCAGCAAACAGACAAAATAATGTAAGATTATCTTGTCATTCAGTTACCTCATAGAGATCTCTAAGGCTTCTTGTACGTTGCACAACTCTTTCACTTTGACTCACACTTGACGATGACGAAGGTGATGAGTCTCTTTGAGTGGTTGATGTTGGTGAAGTGGGTGGAGTTTCAAGCTCTTATTGAGGTTCTTGTTAAGGTTCACCTAGTTGTTCCCTCATTGTCTGCTCATCTTCTTCAAACTGAGGAAAGAAATTGAAGTTATCTGCATGAGAGTTAAAATCCCATTCTCCTTCTTTGTTGAAGACCACATCTCGGCTAATCACAATCTTCTTATTGTCTGGATTTTACAGCTTGTAGCCTTATGAATTAGCATCATAGCCGATGAAGATAAAACTCTCGCTTTTATCATTTGGTACGTGAACATAGGCTATACTTCCAAAGATTCTCAAGTGGCAAATACCAGGCTTTCTTCCACTCCATGCCTCTTGCGGTATCTTTCCCCATACACTTCTTGTTGGAGATCGGTTTAACAAGTAGACTGCACACGCTACTATTTCCACCCAAAATTCATTGGGTAGTTTCTTGCTTTTGAGCATGCTTCGTGCCATGTCAATGATTATTTTGTTCTTTCTTTCTGCCACACCATTTTGTTGGGGGGATCTAGGAACTGTCATTGGTCGACGAATTCTATTTGCTTCATAAAACTCTTGAAACTCCCTGAAAGTAAATTCTCCACCTCGGTCAGATCTTATGGCTTTGATCTTTCTACCGCTTTCTCTCTCCACTGCTGCTTTGAACTTCTTGAAGACTTAGAAAACTTCTGAATTCTGTTTCAAGAAATATGCCCATGTTTTTCTTGAAAAATCATCAATGAAGAGAAGAAAATAGTTACTATTACTGAGAGAGCTTGGCTTGATCAGTCCACACACATCTGTATGGATGAGCTCGAGTGGCTTCTTGGCTCTTGTCTCTGACTCCTTTGGAAAACATTTCCTGAATTGTTTCCCGACTAGTGGTCAGGATGGTTGATGCAAGGTAGTCCCTTCACCATCTCCTTCTTAGATAGTAGCTCTAGACCTCCAAAATTGAGATGCCCAAATCGAAGATGCCAAAGCCATGATACATCTTTGTAGCAAGCTTTCAGGCACTTTGCAACATCATTTTGTATGTTGATCAAGAACATTCTATTCTCTGAAATCGGCACTTTAGCAATGAAGTTATTCTTATAATCTTAAGATGTTAATTTTCATATTGGGCACATAGTAGACATTTGAAATAAATTGATGTCTCCCATCTTTCAAACGGATAAGGATGTTACCTCTCTCTTTCACTACTATTGTGGAATCATCTCCAAATGAAACATTTCCACTTACTGGCTCGTCTAGCTCCACGAACATGTCTTTTCTTCCACACATGTGATTACTTGCACCACTGTCAAGATACCAAGAATTTACTTGGCCACCATCAGTTTTATTTCGTGTTAGAAGAAGAGTTTCTTTGCCATCTATCTTTTCCTCCACGTAGTTGGCCTTCTCCTTAATTTTGTTGTTGGGAGTTCTACATTATGAAGCATAATGTCTTAACTTTTGACAATTATAACATCGAACTTGATATTTGTCATGCCTTGAGTTTGGATTGATTCTTCCACGGCCTCGTGTTGTGCTTTCTCCTTTCTCATAGTTGTTGTTGTAATTCTAGCCTCATCCACGACCTCGACTTCCACCTCATCCATGGCCTCTACCTCTGCCTTGTCCACGTTAGTTTCTATCATTGCGTTGGCTTTCATGCATATCCTTGAGTTTTAGCTTGAGAAGTTTCTCAGTAAACTCATGCTTCTTCTTATTCTTCTCTTCGTATGCTTGAAATGATCCTTGGAGTTGCTCGATCATCATTTCTTCCAAGTCTTTAGTTTCTTCAATCGTCACGACTATGTGTTCAAATTTGGGATCCAACGAACGAAGTATCTTCTATATTATCCTCACATCCTCTAACTTTTCACCATTTCATTTTAATTGATTAGAAACAGTTACTACTCTTGAGAAATAATCTAAAATAGACTCGGATGCTTTCATGTGTAAGGATTCGAATTCACCTCTTAATGTTTGGAGACGGACCTTCTTCACTTGCTCAGATCCTTTGCAAGAGGTTTGCAGCTTCTCCCACGTTTCCTTGCTAGAGCTTTCTTTCGAAATCTTTTCAAAACCATCATCATCTAATGCTTGATAAATGAGGTAGAGAGCCTTCTTGTCTCTATTTCTTGAATCCTTCAAAGTTGTCTTTTAATATAGTGTAAGAGTAGTAAAAGCATCATCATCCACAGGCTCGTTATAGTCTTTCTCTATGATATCCCACACATCTTGTGATCCAAGAAGTGCCTTCATTTTAATACTCCAATTGTCGTAGTTGTTGTTGTTGAGTGTCAGAACTTGGAATGGTGTCATACCATTTGCCATATCTCTCAATATAATGAGAATTTGCAAACTCCAATTGCACGGATAAATCTAGAACACCAAAAAATCTTGTGAGGGACTTGGACGACTCAGTCAAGGGGCTCCAACTCGGCTTAGTTGGCTCAACTCGGCTTAGTTGGCTCAACTCGGTGAGTTAACTCGATTTTCTAGTAGTAGTCTTTCGGCGGTGCGTGGCGGAGCGTCAGAACTCAGATTCGGAAAATTCTGGCGGCGGTAGATTCCTCTCGTCGAGACCTTCGATCTTTCTAATTGGCTCTAATACATCTTTGTTGGAAATGAAACACTGACACAAACAACTTTTATTGAAACTCAAACAAATATTACAAG